GTGACTTATTCAGAGAGGAAGAGTGGCCAACTGCTAAATACACCAACTCCATTTCATGTATTGGTCGCTCAACTTTAGTTATACTTGACCATGGGGAAATTTGTGGTGGTTGTAAAATCTTCATAGTTTAAATCACAAATTGATTTTAGCTAGATCACTAATGAAAACCTGGAACAACCGTTTCGTCTTAGTATAGGACTCCTCAACAATATGGATCCATCATTTTGTCTGCTGTGACCACAATAATAATTTGCACAAGTTTCTCGTGCTGAATTACTTCATGGTCTTACTCTCTTTCTCTCTGTGGGGGTTTATTCGATTCGTCTATAGATTGAACTTGTACAACTATGGAAAGTGATTGTAGTCATTCGTCATTAACAAACTAAGTAATTCTGTGCGTATTATATAATAAGATGTATTTGTGAAACATTTTGTTTATATATACAAATCAATGCGTATGGGAAAGATGAATGGTATACGAAATGATGAAATGAATTCATTTCATTCCACAATATTGTTTTCGCTTTACAAATGAAATAATTACGGATATTTATAATGAAAGGAAATAACTGATAACGTCAATAATAATGAACGCTGGTCTATTGAACAAATTCTTGAATTTGTTAAGAAATAACTTTACGGAGAATAAACATTGATCTAAAACCATATTTAACAACAAAAAGAACTTTCTTTATAAGATGTGAATTCAACGTTTTACTTAAAATCTCATGATGAGATTGTTATATCTCATTAAGTATAATGAATGGTAACTTTTGGGATCCATTTATGGAGGAATATTATGCGTATGTTTATAGCGTATAATTGTTAAATAATTAAACTATTCATATTCATGTCCCTCTTATTATGAGCTTTATTTTCACCTATGAACTAATTTTATACGATTCACCATTCTTGTGTTATCCCAGTCTATCGATTACTATCTCCCTTATTCACAGCCACATTCGGCTAAATCTTGAACAAATGTTGGTTCCTATTTTAGGGTACGATGTAGTCTGTCTGTTTGGTATATAAACCCAGTATGTTTAAAATAAATAATTCATATCGCAGAGGCTGAGATTGGTGTTCTGGAGTTAACCGGCTGGGCTAGGCGGAAAGCAGGACCGATAAGTACCCTATACTGCTCGTACGGGTTTCATGAGTCATTGGTCCGGTCGATAAATCACTGCTAATTGACGGTATTATCACGTTATAAATTATCAGGGCATCTATGTAACAAGTTATAAGAGAAATTTATAGAAAAACAGTTGTAGGTATTATAGAGGGACTGTATCTTAAATATTAGGCTTCTTTGTCTTTTATCAGATCTGGATATTTAGAGCGATTTTATACTTTGTTATTCTTGAAATTCACTGTTTCTCGGATCATATCCTTTACGATGCATAATCTTCTCTATTACAATTGATATTGCTACTAATTCTACTAATGTAATGAACGAAAACTCCTGTACGGAAAACCAATAATTTGTTTAATGCAAAATCACAGTGACTTAATAAAATATGAAAATCATACATTAAATACATCATTTACACATTTTCTTTGCGTTATCCTTTAAATACTCCATTATTCCTCTGATTCTGTTGTTATTTCCTTCCTGTTTTTTTGATTGCAATCTTTTGCTGAGAGACATTCCACTTCTGACTAGTGTTACATACTACTTATGTCTGTTAGCATCAGTAGGAAACATCACAATGGTACTATATATTGATGATTTCATTTTACTGTGCTGATATGGTATGACAACTTAAACCGATGCAAATATGTGTGACGTTTTAAGTTGCTTATTACTGACAGACTGTCTCTTCGATATTAAACCTATTAAGTTTTACCAAGAGATTATAAAGAACTTTTAATAGACAATCCGTTTTAATTATACAAAGGACTCGTGGATGATATTTTTCTAAAAAAGTCACTAATTTAAAATTTGATTTCCAAGCCTTCATCCTTCAAAAACAGCTACATACTAGGAACCAACAGGATCACAACATATTTCTGATTTCTTTTAATACTGCTTCCCACTGCTGATCGGTAGTCACTGATCAAACGACTAACTTATAAATCATAAATCATTGATCTAGGAAAATTGACTTATCAATCAACTAGTTCCCTAAATCCACAAACAATGGTAATCATTTAATATAATGAGACTAACAAGTTGTGCTATGGTTGGATGAGTTCAATAAAGAAAAGAACAAACAAATGAAAAATAACAAGATGTTAATAATATGCATACATATTGAACAGTGAACGATGTAATGAAATACAACAAGAAAGTATCAAACAGAAGAATGAATCTCAAAGGAAATAAAGAGAATGGTTAAACAGAACCATTTATTCTCTCTTTATAGTTATCATCTATAAGAGGAAAGAAATAGTTAGTGGACGACGATACATACATATATATTCTTGTCTTCTCCATTTCTATTTTAATATTTGCGCCTTCATGAATTGTTAACTTCTTATAGAATTAACTATCAATTAACTGTTCATTGTCACTTGATATTGTTCGTATGCTTCCAAATGACCAGATCGATCACAAGCAAATATCCATTCTGGTCGAATAAATATCAAATCAGTATTAGATGACAGTGCCTGTTTTTTTTGTTGGTAGATTCATAAAACAGTAGAAAGAAAAAATAAATAAATCGAAATTGTAAGCAGAGATAAACAAACGATTAAAAGGTAATCGTTTCCTTTTTTTCGATTGTTTACATCATTTGCATGTGTACTGTAATGAGATAAATTATTCTTATTATTAATAAGGAAACGTTTTAATTCAATAGTTTTATCAAGGTCATTAATATGATTACATTTAGAATCATTATTAATAAGAATATTTCACCAGGTTAGTTCATTTTATGCTAAAGCGTTTATCAAGTAAACACTTATAACGAATGATGTATTCTACTCTAATAATAAACTATATACCTCAAAAAGAAAACACACAAGTTCATGTATTATGTACATTAAAGCCTTTCATCAAATATATACAATCTATACAATTATGTTATATGAACACTCTTCACTACACATCACATATCTCTTAAACATACCTAGTTTAGACTATTGTTAACATTGATTGGATGACCTATTCAGTGTATAATGAACTCGGAGAACCATGTACCTATTTATATTCGATAATTTTGATGTTTGATTATAATTCCTTGAAAAAGCTTGGACCAGATTGCCAGGCGAAACGTTGGATTTAATTTAAAAAATTCATTCGCTGAGATTTTACAAATATATTATTCCTATTTAATGTCTTTCATCAAATGTTCGAAGGTAATAAAAACATAATCTGTCATTTAGTTAGTCATAAACGACGTTGAATAAATACATCTTTGCTGATTCGAGGTTCATTTCGAGTCATATCACATAAAGTCTTTAACCATACATAGACATTACTTCGTAAATCACAACAAGGAACATCTTTAACTATGAAGGTTTTTAATTAGTTCCGTTCATGTAAATTCTTCATTGCATAACATATCGTAAGTGAAGGTAAAGTTTGTAAATCTCTTTTCAGGCATGAATTTTAATTCACCAACATTTTGTTAGGCTAGAAACAACATATAAGGTGGAAGTTGCGAGTAAAGTGCATATATTATAGTGAATAAAATAATACTTGCTAATTGTTTGTAGGATTCACAAATATTTATCCCATAAACATATTCATATTAGGAGTAAAAGCTTGTTATACACTTTAGAGGAAAAAGGAATGTTACAATGGATTACAACTTGAAAGTGGAATTCGTTTGTGAGTTGCAGTTAAATCAAATGAGACGTCGAAACGAGTAGAGTAATGGACAAGATTTTTGGAGACAAAAAGATAAGTGGAAGCTATGTAATTGCATGAATTTAAATCACCATATACGATTAAAAAAGAACAGCGGCAGAAAATTTAGTGAACTCGTCAGCAAAAAAAGGTAACGCAGTTATAGTATAGTCAGGAGTTATGACATGATGAGAACATGAATACAGGTACATTTCTTAAAATGTTTAGAACTGAACTTTAAAGTCAGGCAGTCGACACAATCATTTGAAAACCTAAAGCATACAGACTAATATCAGGTTCGACTAAAAAACCCAGCAGTATCAACATCGAATCTTCTATATTGTTGGAACAAGCCTAATGAAACTGTGCAGTGTTATCGAATTATTGTTATATAATTGATTTGACCAAGATTCTTGGGATGTAATAGTCATGATACATATTCAAGCACAAAGGAGATTGAAGATAAACATTTTTCTATGGAAAGTTTGATATTTAAATTGAGTATTTCAAGAATAGACATCTGATAAATAATTATTCATTTTGGAAAATATTGTCAACCATCAAAATATCTGCGCTTGAATTTTACGGTATTTTACATAGCGACAAGTTGTAAACCTTTAATTATAAGCGCATCTGTAAATGATACGGTAATTTGAATAAGAGTAATTCATGTTGTAAAATTCCCAAGAGTTGTTGTGGCATGTGGCATTTTTTAACACTATTTTCTTTGAAGCCAAGTTAATAAACCGATAGTTTGTAAATAAATTACGGTTTGTAGATAAACTATCAAAGAAACCAATCTACATACACATACAATAGTTTCTCGCATCATATGGGATAATTTATAACAATGAAAACATGAATTCATTCAGTATTGTTTGTTTGAATCTTCCCATCGATTTGTTAGGACTGCAACTGGTCAGTCTCTAATTGGCATACGTGCATACTGTGCGTATTGCCTCGATATAGCCTTAATTCATAAGCATGGTAAGCAGAGATGGATAGTGGCTAGTAGTGGAATCCAGGACGCGCGTTTCGTCCTATTTGGGACTCGTCAGCTGAATGTACCTGCATCTCAGAGTTGATGTTCACTCTGGGACTCGAACCCAGTACCCTCACTTCAAACGTCATCGTGTTATCCACTCAGCTACTGAGTCCTGATAGCCACTTGCTTGTGCGATGTGGTGAAGTTTAAATTCATTCAGTATTGTTTGTTTGAATCTTCCCATCGCATGGTTTATACATATTCGTAACTACTTCCTATCTCAAACAAAGAAAATATTTGTGTATGTATATATGATTAAGAACTATTCTGCTATCATCTATTTTTCAGACATTATCAATTAGGTCAAGCGTAAAAAGAGAGGAAGTAAGCCCAACTAATATAACGAAATAACATGAAATTCAATACTTAATGATTTAGACGGACAACAGACTGATAACAATCATGGCCCATATACTTATATATCCTAATTGTAGGATTGTTCGATTATAAAAGTAAGGTGGATAAGTTAATCTATGATGTAGGATAGAATATAATGAGAAAAGTAGTAATTGTAGAAGACAACGAAGAGGAAGTATAGAAAATCATTGGATCAACCAATCATAGAAAAGTTTCAATAGACAAAGACTGTCATTTCTATATGAATTTTCGATAGTTAAGTGTACAAAAGACAATGACATATTAAACTGTATTTTTAAAAATTAATAATGAATGCATTTGACCCTAACTTGTCTGACACGTATTAATTAATCAACATATGTAAATGGATGAATATCTAAACGAATCCTATATATTCCCTCTATGAGTATATAATATATAACGAGAGAAAACTAGAGTAGAAGAAAAACAATGACAAACAGCTGAAGGGTAAGGGCAACAAAAAAAAACTAAAATATAGAAATATGAAATGAAAATAATTTGTTTATTTATTTTTCTTATGGCAAAGAACTGGGTTGGTGGACACTTGGAACAGTGTGTATTGTTTGTATGTATATATGTATGTAGATGTTAAGGTTAAAGTAGTTACCAGTCTATGAAGCATCCTACTACGTATACTTTCAAACAATTCATGACTAAAAAAAGAATAATGATAAAGGGAATTCAAAAGAGATAGATAGAGTTCCAATGTTTGTGGAATAGCTGAAGCAAACTGATGAACATTTTAGATTACATGAATGAGGGACCGAGCTTAGGAAACCAAGAGAAACAAATCATTGAATTTGTACCTATATTTTTAGAAGTATTAAAAAATTGCTTAAATTAACAGAACAAAGGATAGAATGAATGTGTGTATGGATGTGACCAAGTCAAATTAACACTAGGACGTTTTGAAGTCAGATATCATTAATGAATTACTTATCAAAAAATGTCAAATATGCCACAAGTTGAGGATTTAATGATTTAAAAAGAGTTAAAACAAGTCAATATCATTAAATAATAGACTTGGTTACATAAAACTGATTATGTGACAATTTAAAATTGTAGGTTTGACATCAAAAGAAAATTGGACAGAACTAATCCACGAAAGATTGTGATAAATTGGATTGCCTACAAATATCACTGAGTTTTTCCGTGTATAAGCTTAGACTGTGTTAAATTTATACCTTGGATTATACATACATTAAAACAAAAACAAACCCGTTTGGTGACGATGGAAAACTACATATGATGGTATAAACTGTGTTGATAGAACAAGAAGTTGCCACAAACATTGGTATTTCTGAAAACCATATTAATCAACTCTATTTAGCCAGTGTGTAAGTTGTTGTGTGTACAAAATTGGTAGAGATGATGATTTTTTAATCTACATTTTGAAAGGAAAATGGCTGGTCAGTTTATAACGTAGAATTTGGATCTTTCGACCACTGAATCACTACTTCCTGGAAGGAGTTCTAATAGTAGTGCAACTCAATGAATTGAAATTTTATTGGTCATGCCTGAGAATAAAAGTTAGTAGGGATTGGTTTGTAATTTTCTAATCCATAACTTCATGAAAAATAAGATAGGCTGTTCGAACTTGATAAAATTTCTTTTGGCTGTGATCCTATTTGAAATACATCCCTTATTACAAAATATTCTCATTTCCTGTGTATTTACTTACGATGAGATCTCTACAATTCTTATTTGAAATATTATCATTCTGAATTGTATGGTTGGCACCCATAAGGTTGGTATATGTAGACGATTTGAAACTCTGTCATTGAAAAGCAATTTGAGATCAGTAATACAGCGAAACACCCAGTGTTATTGTTATAGGGGATTTTGGAGATTATCAAGGTTTTGTGACTTGAATTACATAGTGATCATTGGAAACTAGAAGGTACTGGATAGTAGATTCAACCTAGTATGGAACTACTCAAAAGGGCGTACCCACTATCCCATTAGGAACAAAATCAGAAGTTTTAGATCTTGTAGCTGGCTTCTAATCTTTAGACCACTAAGCAGACATCCAACGTTCCAAACACCCGACTTTAATCAATTTACGATTAAAAATCTCTACAAATTCGCATAATAATAACCATGTGTCGCTAGTGACTAATTTAAAGAGGTGATTTCGGAAGTTTTAATGAAAAGCCATGATCAGTTGAGCTCACTTATGTTGAATGTGGGGCAATTACCAAATAATGGATTTGGAAGCTGGTTATACAACATCATGAAGTGATAGAATTCAGACATGTTAACCATAAGATTCCGACTCAATAAGCTAAAGGCTAGGTGCCCACCACGAAATTTGAAGTTCCTGAGTCCAAACTTTATTATAAGTGGTTGGTCACTGATCAGAAGTCCTGCACCTCAATGAAACAACTTCCCAATATCTCCTAGCTTCAAATAGTTGTCTAAGTTTGATTCGTGATGTAAACTGTAACTTCATAAACCATATTTTCCAGTCTTCTAGAGTTCTGCATCAAAATAAAAAAATACACAACTTATACAACTTAAAGGAATGTTTTCTTTCGATAATACTAATTACTAAAGATTATCAGAAGGAGGAGATTACAAACAGACAACCGGTTAGAAAACTATCTCCAATTTATCCCAATAATATAAGGGGATGGAGTAAACAAAACAAGGTTAGATAAGCTACATAAATGCCAAATATCTAGACACGCAATTGTAAATATGTGTGCGTATACGCTCCTATATTGTGTGAATGCATGAGATCATTGAAACAAATTATAATAAGCGGAATTGGTGCGAGTTACGCAGAATCACAAACAAAAAAACACGCTGACTTGTGTTTACCGTAAATATCAACTGTGATAAGTACATAAACCAAAACGAAATAAAGCGATTGACCAATTACAATGGTGAGTGAAATTGATTGCTTTTTTGGTCGTAGACACTGTCTTATTTGTTTAGCACTGTAGATGCTGATTGAATTTTACCGATCTAATTGCAGTGTGGTGACTATTCCGAGTGATTTAACATCAACTGAACCATGTTGATAAGGTTGGAGGTGGTCAACAGAAAATTCTGTTTGACTTGGGTTTTATGCTATTTAGGAATTGTCAGCAAGCTGTAACCGTAACTTTGAGGTAACTGTTTTTTGATGGTAGATGACTTTAAGTTTAGAGGACAGTTTTGTTATTGTGATGATACGAGATCAGCGCACAGGGCAAGCTTGAGCGATTCTTAAAGTGATTTCATGATTTTCAAACCAATTTTTTAACAATGAGCAAGAAAGTCTATACAAATTAAGAGTATTTCACAACGGCAGTAATGTAACTGGTTAGATTTTAGCCGTTTTAGGAATTTCATTGACATCCTAGAACTGATTATCAGTTTTTCGATCTAAATATTGTAGAAATATTGCTATAAAATTCCATTAAACTGAGTGCAAATTTGTTCACGCCTAAAATTTCTTTGTGAATCTTCTTTATGTCCATAGTTTTATAGAATATTGATCATCGCCTACAAAAGTCTGCTGAGGACGCTAAATCTCCAAAGATAAATTGGTAAAACTATTTCTGTAATTTAGTATTGGAAATCCGAACTTCTCATTTTCGCGCCAAAAACGCCCATTTTTAGCTTCAGTTTGTGTTTCCCATCTGGAAGGACCTTAAATGTCATTGGCTCGTTTTTACTTTTAATAAGCTATTTTGTGACGTTTTTCAAGGACATTTTTGTGTTGCATATAAACGTGTGAGTGTGTGTACCTGTTCGTTCGCTCTTCTGAGTTGCGTGTGGAATTATATATTTGACTGGCCAAATCTGGTCTTCTTTCTCTAGTTAGCAAGGCTGGAAGGTAGTGGAATAGCTTAGCATGTCCTGTTGTTGTATTGTTGACTTTCGTTCTGTTCATCGGTCCGAGGTGATATCTTAATCGATTGAACATAACAAAGTATTAATAATAAATTCATAGAAAAGTAATGAAGGTGAAATTATAGGGGAGCCATCGTTGTCATCAGATCGATATGAAAAAGTCAAGAGTTAAAACTATTTATTATTTTAGAGTACCTAATTCAGTGAACCAATGATAAAATGATTTTGCCTAAAATTCCTACAGACAAAGTGAATTCTTTCTACGTTTAAAATTTGTCATTCTTACTGTATAACGCTAAAAAGAATGTTTTAAATAACTTTGAACATTATAAGCATCGTACAAACACATTTCTATAGCGTATTACAAGTCCTGAGAGATAAACAAATATGTTTGTGAATTTTTAGCGCAGATGCTTTGCAATGCTCAACATGTTTGCAATATCTAACATTTTCCCGTTCATTTAGTAAGTTAACACTTCAGATAAAAGTATAATTTTCATTCCGGATTTCATTTCAAGTCCTAACTTTCATTTTATATATTTATGTCACCTTGTTAGTTGAGATACACTCCAATGACATGTTCGCAGAAAACAGCATTATGTGGTTGAAATTATATTGCCAATAAAAACCATACTCTTATATGCAACACATCATACAAGATAAAAAACATTCATTCTTAGATGAAGCGCAAAATCTCAAAAGTAGTTCTCCTGATTCTGATGAGCTCGTTTCTACACCATATTTTTATTCAAGACAATAAACATTTATTATTCAGTTGTATGTTTATGTGTTCTGCTTTGAAACGTACTTTTGCATATATATGAGGACTATGGTCAAATTGCTTTACCCAGCTGCCTAAACTACAGTAGGGAAAACAAAAATCTCGAATACATCATTTGACAACGCAGTTGAAAGCCAAATGGTATAATCACTAAGTCATTATAAAGACAATAAAACATTTAGAAAACTAAAAGAGTAGACAATCATACACTTTCTTCCGAATTACGACACGACGTAATAAGTATTTGAAAAATCGCCATTTTAAACAGTGTATTTTCCATGTGATATGTAATATATATATATATATATATATATATATATATATATATATATATATATATATATATATGCTGAAAATCCTCCTTTTACACAAATCAGAAAGTTAGCTTATTTAACTTACTCAAACTATGGTACACAAGTATTATAAATTGTATAAGTAAACATAGAAAGCAACAGTAGTAGTATGTGGTGTATGCTACTTACGCTAACAGACATAAGTAGTATGTGAAACCAATTGGAAGTGGAATGTCTCGCAGCAGAAGATTGCAATCAAGAAAACAGGAAGGAAGTCGGAGAGAAATCGAAATAACAACAGAATCAGAGGAATAATGGAGTATGTAAAGGATAACGCAAAGAAAATGTGTAAATGATGTATTTAATGTATGATTTTCATATTTTACTGAGCCACTTTGTGATTTTGCATTAAACAAAATATTGTTTTTCCGTACTGGAGTTTTCGTTCACTACAGTATTAGTAATAGCATACAGTTCACAAAGCAATAGGGACTAGAGCAAACGATTTTGTGCATGTTCAATTTAGTGCGCTTAGAAGTAATTATAACAAAATAGTTTCTTTTGATAGGCTAGTGAATAAATGTTATCAACAGATGGTGATAATCAGTGAGACTATTGCTGAAATTTTTTACTGTTGAAGAGAATAACTTCTCAACTTACAACTATGCTTTACTAGCCAACTCACTATCCAATTGAAATTTGAATGGGTTGTAACGAACACTAAAACCAGATGCATTCAAAATTAGTTTAGGGATTGTTGTTTAGTAAAACAGGTAACCAGTTAGGGTGCTAGTGTTAATAAGTAATCATTTCTGTTCATAACACAGAACATTTTCACAAGACTTCTGATTGGTTAACTTTAGTCATTGAGAAGGAAGATTTGCACATAATCAATATGTTCACATGTAAGTGATGTATACGTAGCCTACGTCCCAAGAATGGCAACAGACATATGTAAGTATATGTTGTATAAGAAGCAGTAACCAATAAATCAATGTATTTAAACCTGGGATTTTTTTCATTGTTACGTCCAAAGGCTATGGTGTAAAAGTTTCAGTTAAAACGAATTTCATAGTCAACTAAAGGAGAAATAAACAATAAACACTGTTTATAGGACAGGAGACAATAATAATAAGACCTATTATGCTTTTTCATGGAATTAGCCATATCTTTCTCCTTCATGTGTACTTTTGTTTCAAGGTTGTCTGATTGTTGCTACCTTCATCAGTGATAGACAAAACTATTTACGATTGTCAATTTTTTGTTGAAAACGATTTGATTTCTTTGATTTTTGTAATTAACATCACAGACTGATCCCAATTAAGTAACCAGTAAGAACCAGGACGCATATGGAAATTGTTTCGTCCTAGTACGGTACTCCTCAGAAATACATATCCGCGATCACATCTCAAAGGATCGAACCCAGGACTTTCAGTCTCACATACAAATCCTTAACCTCTATGAATTTAGGACAATAGATGCTAGTTCATTGCTTTAGAGGGTATGAGTTCCTGTACGAGGAAGACGGTCCTGAGTTTGACCCCCCCATAGTATGATCGTGGGTGTATACTGAAGAGGAGTCCTATACTGGAACGGAACAGCCGTCCAGTGCTTGCTGGTTCCAAATAGCTTTTTAACTAAGAACATTATTTGATGTTGATAATGCAATAAAAAAATCTCCATAAGTCCCCCTCCACAAAGAAGATAAAACAAAGTTACTTTGATCGTTTCATATTTCAGAAATATTTTGTCTTAGAAATATCAATAATCACTTCTTAACTATCCGTCTATTTATCTGGATTCGTCCGAATTCACATACTCAATGAGTGTTAGCTAATTAAAAAAAATTATTCATCAATCATGTCGATTGGGGAAGTAGTCTCAACTTCAGGAACTATATATATATATATATATATATATATTAGTTATTCCAAAAGTTATAATTCATGGTGGAACCACATACTTTAGGGTACTCTTAAGGATGACTCTGGAGTGCTTGTATACTATATTTTAGCCTATGAGTAAATGGACTTTGTGAATCAAGAGTTTCTTATGAAAAAGTAAGATGATGTTCAAATTTAGCTAGTGATCTCAAGGTGCTTATTAGTTTTTCGCAGGTTGATAGTCAGTTTTCTATATTTAAAGGTAGACTGCTTTTATTAAGAAAATAGTGTTCACAATACGATTAGTTTATAGTTATTTTTTAAAAATTTATAAACACTTTTACCATATATTTCCTTACAATTTCTACAAAATTCGTGTGAATACTCCATGAAACTTCTGTAAAGTCAAGCCATTAGACAACATTATTGAGTCAGTAATGAACAAATGATAACCTGGCATATGTTTGCTAGTCTAATTTGTACCACATTAATACAATCAGATGAACTGCAAAAGAATTTAAACAACCTATCAGAAATGATGTTTATGAAGACTGAACATTGAGAGTATGGTTTAAAAAGACAGAGAAGAAGTAACCATGACAACAACAAAACACCTGCCAGTATAATTTCCGACATTTCAAGTAGTACATACGATACCAAGGTTTATATTAGTCACTATGTTAATAATGAAAGCGTTTAGTTATGAAATTAGAACAACCATAAGAGAACGGATTTATAATACTAAGCTTCCTTTACAATCGGATTAGACAGTACATAATGTCTAATTCACTGTATGGCTGCACAACAGATAAATTTCTTATTGATTTCAAGAGTTTCGAGCATTGAATGAAGATACTGTCTACTAGGTTTTTTATAGCGTACAAACTGTCACTGCATTTTGAATTTCGTGTATAAATCGAAGACTAGCTAACTCAAGTATGATTAACTCGTCGCTAAAATATAAATTCATTGATTTTATAATAAACTGAAATCAGCTGGAGAACCATTAAAACTTTATTTTAGTAATCGTAATGATAATAATGTGCTCACTAATAATTAACTTCAAGAGACTTTTTTGGAGTTCTAATAAGAAGCACTGACTAATCAACTCTATTTGAAGGAGGAGGGTTGTGAAGTTTTGACTGAGGTTGCGTACATGTGCTACTAATCCCGATTCCATTATTACAATGTGTTAACTTCAACTGTCTATACAAGTTCAAAGGTTTTATTATTATTATCATCACGAAATTGAGATTTTGAAGAATTTTCAATTCGAAGTTAGTTGTCATCATTATCACAGACCGGTATTCAGTGAAAAACCACTAACGACCAAGGATTACCGTCAGACAGAAATGATCGACAACACTGTATGAAAATTCTGCTGCATATATTACGAACTTACTAAAGTCTGAAAGTATGGACGTTCACAGGAGTCTACAGTACAATACTCTATGCTATTCAATAAATTATCTTGAAAAACTAAAAAAATCGTGTTGCGGTGCTACGATTTACGCGTTAAGTAAATAAAACTGTTTACCAAAAAAAATTGGCTTAGTAATGGTGGAATCAAATATAGAGTACATTATATATATATATATATATCGGATGGTAGTAACGCTGGCAATAATATCAGTGATAATACGCACCAAACACTTTGTTCATTACCAAAATTTTATAGATAGGATTAAAAAGGCTATTTACATATTCGATCCGATTAGATGGTATTTATTTATGTTTATAACACTAATAATGATTTAACCATGCACAATAATGAGTTGAATCAAGTGTAATGACCTTAATTATTAAATTCATAATGAAAAACAGACCACAAGGTGAATTCCATATATATATATATATATATATATATATATATATATATATATATATATATATGTTTGCTAGTCAGCTAATTACTATTATTATCTATCAGTATAAAGTAGTGAAGATTCTTAAGTTTCATTGAGACCATGAACAACTTTAGGTTAGACCACCACTGGGAACATAGAAGCATTAAACAACTGTTTCGTTTTAGTATAGAACTCCTCAGCAGTGCATACTGACGATCCCGTAAATGGGAATTGTATCCAAGACCTTCGGTCTCGCGTGAGAACGCTTAAACTTTAGTTCACTGAGCCATTATGCAACGGTGTTAATTTCTAATTTCAATCAATCTACAATATTGAGTGACGATTTTCCATTGTATTCGGTGGGTAAATGATTCAAGACCGACACGGTTGAACTTCAATCGTCACGGTTTCTCACTAGAACTCCGAAAATTCCCTCTCAAAGCTAGTCACCAGTGAGCATATGATTATTATCTGTCTTTCATTTCATTATACTTACATTTTGATGTTAGTTGGAAGTCAGCAGGAAACCCTAAGCCAAGGTTTCATGCTAGTTACCAATAGTCAGTAAGGTGTACCCACAATTTGCAGGTAACTGAAACCTACGAATGGATCCAAACCTGGATCATCCAGTTTCACAGTTTGAGATGTTACCACTGAGTTATTTAGGCCTTTCCTGTGGAAATGAGACATTCCCATTAGTTGATTACTGAGCAGTTAGTTACCCACCAACGACACTGAAAGATGATTGCATATTATCGCAAATTGATCGAAGTTAAATATGTAAACCATGGGATGATCTAAAGCTTAAACGTTCATCAAGAGACTTGAGGGTCCTAGGCCTAACCCCTCATGTGGGCAGGGTATGCAATGCCACTGCATAAAACGATATACCAGAATGAAACAACTATCCAGTGTATCTTATTTCTCAATGATTATCTATATAATTAAGGACAGTTCATGGTGCAAACTATAACATTCACTAATTTCTCCAACCCCACTATACAAATGATAAAATAAATATACAATTAATTTTGATGGATATACACTTTTTTCTTATGACTAATTTGAATTGAGATAAACAACAAGCAGGGACATAGACTTACATTATCAAACTCGACATCCCAAGCGGACCTTGTTATAACGTATTGGACTTCATTACTCATGTACTGATGCAGTGTTCTATCACCACAAAAAGAGTCAAGAAGAAGGCAGAAAAAAACACTAATTACAAAATTTGTAGAATATTTTTTCATGAAAATAAATATTTAATTATGGGCTGGATAAAAATGACTGGAAAAGAGGATTGCAGTCAATCATAACATTTTGGATTTCAGATGTTAATTAAATTGAGAATGGATAGATATTGTTGTACCACTTATACTTTTCTAATACTTTAGTATTTATTCTAATACTGGAATAATACTAGGTAGTCGAAAAGAGTTATCAAGAAATACCGATTTTAGGAGACATGCTGATGAAGACTATCAACCCTAACAGGGAACACTGACGTATTTTGAATCCCAATCTACTAGTTAAAAAGAATATAATGGTGAATAAGATTTCTAAGAGCGGTTAGTAGGGAAATCCAGGACATTAATTTCACCAGATTTGTTATTCGACAGCTGCACGGACCTGGACCCCACTGTGGATTTTCAAAAACTGCCTGGAATGCTTCGTAATGTAATGAACAAGAACACAAGTGGAGAAAATCGAATATATTTGAATACAAAATCACGGAACATCTTAGTAAAATCTGAGAACCATACAGTAAATAATTCATTTGAAAAATGTCAATCATTCGTCTCAGATTTCGTTGTTCTTTCGTTTCCACACCAATCATTTTCTGTTCATGTTCTCTTTTATTTGATCTTCCTAACCTTCTGCCACCAGACATTTCACTTTCGATTGATACATACTACTTATATCTGTCGAGATCGCACGCACGAGATACCTATATACTAAGAGATACTGATCAATTCCAGCCCATAATGTCAACAATGGAAAAATCCAAATCCTTACAAGTGAAACAGTGACGAATACTTTATAATTTTATGAGTAACAATGATTCAAAATCATCATAACCCATGTATTACAGGCGATGAAATAAAATATTAGTTACCCAGTGCTTGAGACAAATAATCCAAAAATACGAATGGAGAATAAAGTATCCTGTGTAATTAATGTGGTCACAACCCTTTCACGACTTTGATTTGTGCTATGATATAAATGATGTATGAATGGTGAAAGTAATAGGTTCTTACTGCCGAGATTGGACAGACAGAAACTCAACTTACTGAATGTTTTTTTAAAATGGTTGTTTGCCTGTTATTGATTTCTACCCTGAACTCACTGAGTTTAGACTGCCAGTAACTGTGCTAGATAGAGTATAGTCTGCTTCCGTAACTGTGGGCCATAAATCATGCATCTAGTATAACATGGTCTAGTCTGAATGTAGCTTATCAATCGAGTATTCTAATCTAATGGTGATATAATCACGGTCATCAGTTGTTACATTATAGTTTTTTTTATTCTTCTGTGATGTTTAGTAAATAAGGTTTAGAAAAGCCAGAACATACAAATATTCATAGATCTCAAATGGGACAGTTTCAAAATGAAAAAGAGTGACAAGTTTTATGATTGGTTGATTGACATTTTTTAGAGGATAAAAGAGACAAGAAATTGTTGATTGACCGAAATATCTTTATATTTATTACATTTATATATTTTGACAATGCATCGTATTTAAATTAAATAATTGCCTCGCTTTTGTCTTTAAAGCTTATTCAGTTCAGTTCTACGGATGTAGTGTGAATACGCTGCAAACTCTGATTTTAGCACATTTAATCAAACGATTGATTAGTCAATCAATCAATCAATCAATCTGAAAGCAACTTTACGAGAAGATTTGAAATGATTTTTTTAAAGTCAACTATTTTGAGTTGTACTCATTCGTGATTGTTGTTTTTGATTTGGGGACGAAAACTGAAATAATTATTGATTATATGAATCAAAAATAGTTTACAGTTACAAACTGGATACAAAAATATTATAAAAACTATGCATCAGTTAATATATTAGAAATCAGCTCGTATCTCCAACGCCACGCTAATAATATTATTTTCGTAAGGTGGCTGGAAGTAGAGTCGACAAGAAACTGTGAACATCCTATAAAAGATCGACGGTGGCACAAATAAGTCGGTGGTAACGTCTCTGACCATGAAGCTGGGTTCAACTGGAGCGAGTTCGCCAAAGAGCATCAGTTCTCATATAATTACAATCCGACCTTGTTGACGAGTGTCAAATGGCGCGAAACCCAGGTGTTCCAGGGTATCCTGTCAACTACCTCCAACCAACCACCGCCTTACATCTCAACACGGTGTCGAGTAATTTAGACTAATCGCCACATTATAGTGACTAATAATAAGTGACTAATTAATTATAAATATCGTCATTATTAGTTGTAAACCACACCATTTTCGACATATTACAATCATATTTATTTAATTATTTACCATAAATACAGACACTTACAAACAACTTACGTCTATACCACTCCTCCTCAAAAAAATGCTACTCCAAATTTTGAAAAACAGAATTTTTATGAGGAAATCAACATAATTTTATGATATCTGACGTTGTAATAACAACAATAATGGTAATGGTAATAACATGCAAACTGGAGGCATAAAGTATGCAGTTCACATGTTATAGAATCATTACACAAAAAATTCTAATCTACTGAACCTATTGATTGAGTACTTGCAGCTTACTTAAATTTTCTGCTTTGATATGCCATTTTTCACAGACAGTGAGTAGCACATTCACTTACTTGATAGACAAATGAATATTTAGTAAGTGCTAAAGTGGTGTAGATCGATAAAATTCCTGTGAATTTCCGTACCGAATGAAGTAAATCCTACTATTCTCATTATTACTGGCTACAGTTTAGTGCAATTTAATCACGGTAATATCACCAATTTAGCGTACTGGATTTGTTGCAAAATGTCAAAACGTATAGGTTTAAAACGAAGTATAAATTAGATAGGCTAGGTTGAGTCACTATAGTTTCTGGAAGTGTAAGAGAAAAGACTTAGAAGAAACAAAAAATAATTAAAAGAAGGACCACAAAAGATAGATGAAGAGATAACAAAGATATAAGTTCAATATTATGAAATATTCAATATGTGGCGGATAGTAAGACGAATACATCACAGAAATAGAAGTTCGTTTCGGGTTATTTATCATAATGCTTTTCTCTGCTAACTTGTTCTAGCACCAAAAAACCGTCAATCACAACAGCCAAACGTATATGTTTATTTTGATTGTACTTAACTGTAACTGACTACATGGATTGATGCTTCGTCCTAATATGAGCAACCTAAGGGTTTTCCAGCCACTGTCAATGAATTTGAGTACGGACTGAGATACTGCCTGGTCACCTAAACCGAAGCACATGGTTTTCTTAGGGATCACTCTCCGATCCTTTGACCTACAGGTCTAGTCCACAAAGGGCAGGGAAAAAATTTAGGAGATGCAGTCACATGGTAACCGGTGACCGACAACAGGTTCATATATTTTTTTGTCTTCAAGAACCTGGAGCTTATATCCACCAATGATCTGGAATCAGGGTTTTCCAACTCCCTTAGGTGGATCTTCCGTACTCACCAACACAGTTGGAATCACCGGACATTCACTTTTCGTTCTCTCAAGTTCGTAGACAAGACTCGCCGCCAGAAGTCAGTGAGTAAGACTTTCCTGGTAATGCCCAATCGCAGTACATAACATTAACAACGAGAAGCTACAAACACCTGGTAAGTATTGAAGTTGATTTTAACAGTACCAATAAAATAATTTTCGTCTCACTGTATACGTACGGTTTGTAAACTGAGTGTAAAAAACAATAGAGAAAGCATATCGAAATTTATTAAAATAATTGTGTACGCACAAATTCCAGTTTACTAAGCTCTAATCTGATTGAACTATAATAAAAGAGTGGAATGTGCCAAGTGATTAGGACTAAATGCCTTATGGAATTTATACAATTTAAAAATGAGACAATCGACAATTTTATACAGAATAGTTGATCAAAATATATATTGGATTGAATATTAGCTGAACAGCTCATTTTGTGCACACCACTACACCGGAAAGAGTATTAAGTCCGAACATGTGTAGAGGATAATATGTAAAGATTATAAAGGAAGTCCAAACTAGGGTGAAACAGCTGTTCAGACACAATGTATTCCTGATTTTTCATACTCATTTTTCGGTTATTTTTTGTTGGACTAGTGGATGAATCTATTGTAAACAAGAGTTTAATTTTAAGACATAACCTTTGACTATATGTTTTTCATCGGGAATTTCAGATTTTGCTACCATTGATGTGTTCATAACAAAAAGTTGAGAATAACTCTAAATAACTGAAATGAAACTTGAAGTGAAAATTAGACTTCAATGCAGACACTAATTCACTCACTAGATGAACGATAAAATGGTTGGAAGCGCTGGATACACTACATTTGTTGAAGATTGAAAACGTTGGCAATAACTTAATGTTAATGTTAGTCTGTGACGAAAACTTTCTTCACATACATACAAAACTCACCACAAAATAATACCTGAGCAGCTAAAAAACTAGATCAGCGATCAAGTTCAAATTAATTATTGGTTAATCATTATAATGATGATAACAATCGTAGTAACACACTTGTTTTTGTTCTCTATAGACATTGTCCCAAATTTAGTTTGGTCTACATATTTTTCACAGATTAGACACGTGATCAAAGAGTGGACTAAATAATGGACATTTTAAGCCTGATTGTAACTGGCTGAAAGTGGTGTAGAGACAATGGTTCAAATAGACATACATAATCAAGGTAGTAGCATAGCGCGGCATAGTTACAAAACGGTAAACCAATAGAATGTAAGTAGAACAAACAGAAATAACATGTTATAAATAACAATATACTAATGAAAATTACTTAATGTTGAAGCATTTCATGGAAGAGTAATGGTAAAGTTAGATATTTTAGTACGCTTTATTTCAGTTACAACCATAAATTCAGGTTGAGTGAATAATATTGCCTGACAAGGGGTCAGATGTTGAATCTTTTGATAAGACAAAACATATCCAGGGGATAATTATATGTCATATCAGTATACACATAGATGAACAGACA